TGAGAGAATATTGACCGGCAATAGAGCATTTTGATTGGTTGATTTTAGTTATTGGCCCTCTGACTTCCCGAGTCGTGTAATAATGAGAGAATATTGACCGACAATAGAGCATTTTGATTGGTTGATTTTAGTTATTGGCCCTCTGACTGCCTGAGTCGTGTAATAAAATTTATTACTGCGGACACTATGTGATGTATGTTATACTGTTAATGTATTCTATTAGCAGTCAACGCTGGACGTCTTTTGTCTATGGGAAACTCACCTTTTCTGCGCCAATCGTTGATTTCTTCTGTTTTAAACGACGTGACCTTAAGTGAACAAAGGAAACATTTCAAATTTGAGACCACTATCCTAAAGATTAACTATGAAACCGAAAGTTCCCAGAGGACCTAGTAACGGTTCAAGACCTGAGAAAGGCGGGAAAAATTATGTCAAGCGCGGTACCACCGTAGTCAACGCTACAAAGCTCAGAAAATCGTGCCGCCCGTAAAAAGCGCGGGGAAAAAAGAGGAACTTTCCGTACGTTTTATATGACAAGTATCAGTAAGTTATAAGTATTTTTCTGCTGTTTACTGAACACCAAGCTTAAACTTTGCGGCGAAGTTACAAAGGGTTAAAGATTTGACTTCATACCTCTCTAGTGCCAGTTGTAGCTCTAACTGGGCTTCATCATCTTCGGCTAAAGCAGCATTGTCTGTATCAGTCATAGGAACTTCTACACGCAAAAAATAATAGAAAGTGATTCAAGCAGGAGTGAATAAGAAGGGTAATTTCTCAAGAAACTATGCTGCGTCAGTTGTGGGTATCAGTGCAAGATAATTTGGTTTCATTTACTATAGTTGATAAGGTAAACTGGCCACCGTAAAGAGCTTCTATACCTGACGTTTCGAGCGTTAGCCCTTCGCCAACTTCGTCATTAGCTCCGATGAAGCACTAACGCTCGAAACACCAGCTCTAGATAACTGTAAAATATTTTGAGGAAAACTCCAATGCGAATTTATCCTTTAAGTAATTCTCTGGAACTAGAACTTGCCTTAGATTTGCAATGACATTTCTTACGCTGATATGACATTTTAAGGAAATGAAAAAAAAATTATAAAGAGAGGGGGGGGGAGATGAGTAGTTGTCATGCTGTTGATACTAGCGATCTTTCGACTGTAATAAAAACAGCCATTTTGTCAATGTGCGCAGGACACTTGTACAAAAGAATGACTATATGACCTCCCGGTCGTTAGTGGGGGTTCGACTGTCCTATTCAAATACTCCAAAACAAATGCTATAATCGTCTTGGTTGCGGTGAAATTTCAATGAAATGGCAAAAGAGAGAATGTTCAATAGACCTTCGTCTTCGGGCTCCAAAGGATCAAGTTCCATCATGTCGCCTGTTTCTTCTTTCTCCTCCATCTTGTGTGCATTTTTCAGTATGGACTTCACACTTCTGTTAGAATAGAAAATGACCAAAAAAGTGGTCAGTGAAAAGCGCGGCAAAACTCGTTAAACCAACAGAAATTTGTCAAAACTTTTTTCCAACCTTAGTCCTTAGCTACGACATTTGCCACCCTAATAATAGTACGATCCTGAAAGGCTAAAATTGTCGTATCTTACACAGCTAGATTATTAAAAGCTAGATTGTTAAAAGCTAGAACAGATAAAGAACTAACTCAACCCCCAAAATTTGGAAAAAATACCTTGATCCTCGATCACTACGCAAATCTGTTTGTCCCGGTAGTGCCTCGAGGTCATCTGCCTATAAACCCGCAAACAAATAAACAAACAAACAAATAAACAAAGGGGGTTAAAATAATAATAACATACATTCCAAAAGTAAAATAATAACCAAAACGACAGCATAACCAGAGCATTCCCGGATTTCTTATGACACTCGATTGCTAAGGTTATGACACTCTATTGCTAACTAAAGGCTCAAGGAGGTACTTTCTCCTGTTAAGAATATGAAGCACTGTCCGACATCACAACATTTAATCATATATCTGACGAAGTACATGTACTCTCAGTTACCTTGAGAGTTTCTCTCCTTTTAATCTTTCTCTTCTTCTTTGGCTTCTTAAATGTTACCTTTCAAGGAGATATGGGGTCAGCAAGTTAGTGAAAGACAAGCTGTTAGCTTACAGTTGTATAAACAGGTGAAAAGAAGGTATAGTTAAAGTCCGTTTACCATTTCTTCCTGAGTATAGTATTCTGCAACTGGCCGTGGCTGCGCCATTTCGAGCGATACCTGTAAAAAATTGAGAACAAAATTGAATCATACATTCTTGGAAAACGTTAATTAAAAGTTATTAACAGCAACAATCATTACGCAACATTATGCAGAGGATAGCATTGAAAAGCATACTGCTAGCAAAATAATTATAAGAATTATTGCGACTTATAATCATCAACAAGACCTTGAGAAACTTTAACCTTCTAACTCCTGGAAGTGATTAACATGTAACTTCTCACAATAATAGCCCTACATTATCCTGCAAACAGGTACTGAAAACATTCAAACTTATCAGGTGGAAGTTTTTATCTTGATCTAACACCAAATTCTCATAACTAATTCACAAGGAAATGTGTAACAGAGGGGGGAATTCACAATTAGATCTTTATAGAAAGCAACCTCAAAGGACTTTTCAAAGCATAATTTGAGTAAAATAGCTAGTAAGACCATGTTGAGCTAACAAGAAACACTAAACCGTACAAAAGCAGTTTTACTCCAAATTCAACCTGTATACATACCATCTGTGCTTTAAGTTTTGCTTGTATCTGTTTAAATAATAATAATAATAAAAAAATTAAAACAAATTTGACTTCAGAACTTTTCATCATTTAGAGATGAAAGCAATATTCTTGTGACAAAATTTACAGCCGTGTTCAAATTGTAATTCAAATCAATCTGGAAAGGCACCTTTTTAACTTCATTTTCCTTAGTTGAGTCATAAGTTCCTCCTGAACCTGAAAAAAAAAATGGTTTTTAAAAACCTTCAATAAGAAATTTAAGACAAGCAGTCAGAGCGAGACCATATGCAAGAATCCCAAGCATTTGGGTGTCGCAGAAAGTAGTGGATATTCACTCAGTCACTTGACAGCAAATTAAATATCCTCTACTAGTCAGAGCAATTTTATTAAATTTTTAAAAGTAAGCCACAGTTCCCTTTTTTTTTTTTCGCTTTACCTTACTCTGTGATTGGTCTAGAAAACTTGCACCATTTTCTCAGCCAATCAGATGTAAAACTGAAACCAGTCACAACTTGGTCCCCCACATTTTCCCACGTTTTAGACAGTTTGGTCAGTCTTACTTTAAGTTCTTATCGATTCTTCACCCTTGAACACCCATGAGTGACCAAGACAGAATTTCTTCTTACAACATCAATACAATATAAAGCAGACAAGTAAAGAGAATAAGGAAAAAAAGAAAATCAGGGGGTAACAGTTGATCCAATACCAAGTTCTCCAAACTAACATCATTAGAATTGTATGGCAAACAGTTAGGAGAATTACTAAATGTGATCTTTCCTTTCTTCTGATTGGCCACTGCGATTACTTTGGTTCTGGTTTTGGTTTTCAATTTGAAAAGCACTTTATTCACCTTAACTTCATTGCTTAATTGTTAACTATTACCACAAACAGAGATATGGAAATGTCACATTCTTACCAAGAACAAAAGATTTCTTTTCTTCTCCATCAATTTCTTCATCATATTTCTCCAAAAGTCCTCTCTGTTTGACCTTGAATATCATGGTAGGAAAATTAAGATAAACAAAATTACACCATTCTTTTTTGTGCATGCTAATAAGCTCCTTTTGACACTAGTGGTTAGGTTGAACAATGTATGGGAATGAAGCTCAGATAACTTGTAACATCATGAACTTACCTTGCCATATTCATCAATTTCTGACTCATCATACGGTTTGTAATCTGGTTTTCTTTTCCGCAGTTCAACATTTTTATTTGCCTGAGTGAGAAGAGAAAAATTAAGTTGAGTTTGATTCAATTAACTAATCTCAAAGAATAAATAAACTGTAACACAACCATCAAAAGTATAAATTGTTGGTTGGCCTCAAAGAGATCCATTTACAGAAACACATTTAAAGTATAATGATCAAACCATAAGAACCATACCTTTTCTCTGTCCACAATATTTACATTTACCAAAGTTTGTTCATCTTCATCAAGGACAGCTGTAATGAACCCAAGTGGATCAAGATAAATACTTGGGGCTTTCAATGAAAGCCAGTTAGGTAAAGTCTGTTTAGGAGCCAAGTGGCCAATTAAACCTGCACTTAACTTCAGTTTCTGTAGCATGAAGCAACTAGAAGTATTTCTATACCCCCTAGAAGGGATGTTAGTCCACTGCAGGGTTACCCCCAGCATTAAATTTGCCAGTATCCATAGAAACACCTGTCTTGCCCAAGAACATAAAACAATATCCCAGGCCTGGGATTGAACCCAACACCACTCAATCCTGAGTCAAGGGCACTAACCCTGAGGCCACCATGCCTCACGCACAGGGCCAGTTACCATTCATCTGCTGTGAGACCTCCTACTGCTGTCTGTTTAGCTTGCAAGTATGCTCTCATGTCTGGGTTTTGTCTTACAGTGCAGCTTCCTAATGCTGTATGAGCAGCTGCTTATCAAAAAGTTACTGAAACACCTGCTGCATAACACGCAAATTTCTTCTTCGAGTGATGCTACTCACAAATCAACAACCACTTGCAAAGTGGTAACTTTATTGTCACATGTGGTTGAACCTACAAATCTATAAGCAGAGTCAGGTGCAAGAGGTTCCTGCTACATTCATTTTATTTCACAAGATAAGATCTAACATTTTGATGGAAGTGCATTGTCAGGTTATCTAACAGTATCTAACAATAAGTTGTTTACTGAGAATGAGTAGGGAAAAACGTTTCTAGAAAATCTGTGGTGCGATGCTGGGGTGGGAGGGGGTGGGGGAGTATAACAAGATGATTTGCTTTTAACAACTGAGTTGATCATGTAAATTGACCTTGATATGGAGTTTCTAAAACTGACGTTTCAAGCGTAAGCTCGAGACTCTGTGATCCTGGCTTGAGTAGGCTTACCAAGAGAGTATGCAAAACTCAGAAATATTCTAAAACTTTGAGAATGGTCAACTTACCAGCATCTTTTAAGGTCATGATCACTGTGGAACCCTCCTGGAAAAAAAGGGGGAAGTTTAAGGTCAGTCCTCTGAGGGAAAAACCCCACTGAGATTTCTGACAAGACTGATGCAATGCTAGTAAGATCCATATGTATACCAGACTTGTATTAAGAAAGATCTTTTATTTCATAGGTACTAAGATTTTCGCATGGAATACATCGCTTGAAGAAACCCATCAGGAAATATCTTCACCTGACCAAAATTGCAAAACAACTCTTTCACAAGTGGGAAAGCATTCCATTCAAGCAAAAATCAGCTGTCAAAATGAGTTAACTTGTTTGCTATACTCACTCATTCATTTCCTTAAACATCAACAACTTGTGAATAAAAAGCCATATGCGCACACTTTCCATGAATTAATCTATACATAGTGAGTCAATCAGAACAAAGTATCTTATTACCGGTAATTAAAATATCTGGCATGAACAAACCGTAAAATGTTCTTGTGAATGTTCAACTTTTATGCCTCTGAGATCCTGGCTGGAGTATGCCTATAATGAGGTAATGCAACACTCACAAATTTTCATAAACATTATAATTAACTTACAAATTGGTGCATTGGTCACTTTTTTTTTATCATCCTAAGGAGTAACAAAACATGAGACAGTATTCTTATTACGAATCAACTTAACGGCCTGCTCCCAGTTAAGACCATGTTGAGCTAACAAGAAACACTAAACCGTACAAAAGCATTTTTACTCCAAATTCAACCTGTATACATACCATCTGCGCTTTAAGTTTTGCTTGTATCTGTTTAAATAATAATAATAATAATAAAATTAAAACAAATTTGACTTCAGAACTTTTCATCATTTAGAGATGAAAGCAATATTCTTGTGACAAAATTTACAGCCGTGTTCAAATTGTAATTCAAATCAATCTGGAAAGGCACCTTTTTAACTTCATTTTCCTTAGTTGAGTCATAAGTTCCTCCTGAACCTGAAAAAAAAAATGGTTTTTAAAAACCTTCAATAAGAAATTTAAGACAAGCAGTCAGAGCGAGACCATATGCAAGAATCCCAAGCATTTGGGTGTCGCAGAAAGTAGTGGATATTCACTCAGTCACTTGACAGCAAATTAAATATCCTCTACTAGTCAGAGCAATTTTATTAAATTTTTAAAAGTAAGCCACAGTTCCCTTTTTTTTTTTTCGCTTTACCTTACTCTGTGATTGGTCTAGAAAACTTGCACCATTTTCTCAGCCAATCAGATGTAAAACTGAAACCAGTCACAACTTGGTCCCCCACATTTTCCCACGTTTTAGACAGTTTGGTCAGTCTTACGTTAAGTTCTTATCGATTCTTCACCCTTGAACACCCATGAGTGACCAAGACAGAATTTCTTCGTACATCATATGTACAGTATTCTTTGTTTGTTTGTTTTTTTTTAATATTTTGCACAGAAAAAAGTTTTCAAAAGTCTATAATCATAGTGCTAAAGAAAATGCAAATTTAAGGTTTACCTGTCTACCTTTAATAAATGAAAAATTTTTCCATTACTAGATAAAGCCCGAGCTGAATCATATCTACATACCGTTTTCTTTGGTCTAGAGTGAGATCCAAATTCTTCCTCCACCAAATCACTTATCCCAAATTCTTCATCCATTTCTTCCAGAAGTTGTGCCTGTTAAAATCAAAATTTACACAAAAACACTGTAAAGTTTGTGATTGCGCTTTTGGTAATTATACGTCTTCACTAAAATCCTAGTATTTTCCAATTACCAATTAAAATAGGTTCCATGTGGTCATGCATTTGATGTTATAGATCACTTATGATGTCAAATTGTAGTCAGAACAAAAATGTGGTCATCAAGTAACAGCTTAACTCTTTAACTCCCAAGAGTGATAACATGTAACCTCTCTCTTATAATACCCCTCTACTATCCAGCAAACAGGTAATGACAATATTCAAACTTTTCAGGTAGAATTTCTTACATAACCTTGATCAAACACCAAATTTTCATAACTGAATAGGCCATTTTACAGTTCTGTACTTAGTTGCCAAGCCTTTGATTCTGAGTGAGGCTAAAGGTGACCTTGTTGTGATAGAGACCTGTATCTAGTTAGCACGATAACAAAGTGATTTACATTTGAAAGGCAGCAAGGTTTGTATCATAACAAGGTCATCTCTAGCCTCACTCCCGTTCAAAGGCTTGGCAACCAAGCACACAACTGTAAAATGGACTATTTACAAGAAAATGTGTGGCAGCTCTCAGGTAGAATTCACGATCAGATCTTGAGAATTAATCAATAAATAATAACAATAAATACGTTAACTGAAGCTCCCCCATAGGGCCTTTTCAGGCACAATGTAGACTAACTAAGTGTTTGAAAATCCCCACTGGCAGGAGGCAGATCAGTGGGCTATTTACAGAGCAGTATTAGTTAAACTAATCCAGTGAGTGGCGGGGTGGAGAACTTAAACCAAGGACAACGGCGTAGTTACGGCACCTCACCTTCGTTTACAAATTCACGCCTTTTGTACATTGTTTTCCGTTTTCAGTTGTTCTGTGTATATTTGTTATTTTATTAGGTTTGCCAGTCATTTTTGGTCGCGTCACATTTCATATTTTTGTGTTCATTTTTTATGTATTGCTTCTATTGTTTGGTATAGCTTCTTCTACTGTAGTTTTCTTGTCACCATTGTCATTGTGTTTTAGTCATCGTAGACGCCACATAATCTTGTAAGTTTCGTTATTTTGTCCTTCATTTTGCCTGTTTTATTTGTATTTCGTTTTGCTTTCCTGCTCTGTATATTTAGCTCGCTTACGTACATTTGCCTTTAGCAAATCGCTAGTAAAAATCCGAATCTCTTGGTTTGTGGATTTCGACTACAAGCGGATTACAAGTCCAGCACCCTAACCACTCAACCATGCTGGCTCCAGGGTTACTGTGTCACTGATCTTCCTACCACATGATGACGTCTTCTGCAATTTATTACTATACAGACCCAAGACCACAACCTATTTGTTTCATACGACAAAAAAGCAAAATGTTGCTAATGGTGATGCTGTCTATGCTGCAGTAGAGTAAGACAAGACTAAACCTTTTCTGTCACAGCAGTAAGACAAGACTAACCCTTTTTTCAGCCAAACTCTTTTCTTTCTCTTTTTTTCTACTCTTCAGAACCCATGACATGGCAGTGTCATCATCATCACTGTCTGCAGCTCCTAGGCTTTTCACTTTTCTATTCCAAAAAAAATAACAACAACAACAAGAAAACATATTGATAAAAGAAGTACTTTAGAGAAGCATTGATTAGTATCTTATTTCTCCTTACAATATCACCCCTGAATCAAATATTAAGGTCACGGGAATGAAGCAAACGATCACCAACCATGATTGTTAAACAAATTCTCCTTGTCAGCATCTTAGGAAATGTATAGAGAATGGTATGGAGAATATACATACTGATGTCAGGTGTAAAGAGCTGAAGGAAGTGACAAAGCAGTTGAGACTACATCTAATTTGCAAGATATATTCCTGACTCACCCTAGCTTTTTGTTAATTCTTCTCTTTTCTTTCATTTCTTCCAGTTTCCTTTTAAACTAGAGAAGTTCCATGATCATAAGTTATCAGTTGTAATTCATGTAAGTTAAACCAAATAAACATGTAATCCTTTCCCTTCTAGAGTTAATCAACATGTAACTTCTCCTTCTGAGTTTAATATTTTTATAGAAAATAAATTATGAGAACAGACGAACTTATCAGCCGGAGGGGTTTATCTGAATCCACTACCAAATTCCCCTGCCTAATTCATATGGACAGTCAGCAAAGAGAATTATGAGTTGGACCTTGGGGGTTACATGTTTATCATATAAGGGGCAAAATTACTGAATTGTGATTGGTCAAGACAGAGGGCATTTTTTCTTAATTTTTGTAATTGCCCCGGGCAAAATTACTTGACTATGATTGGCTGAAAATCGCTTAGCAACGGCTGCCAAGGAAAAGAAATCACTGTTTGTTTTGTAACAATGGCATCCCGTTTCGCGCGAGATCAGTAAGAAAACATTATGTCCCTTAAATTATAAACAAGTAATCACATGGTTCCTTGTAAAATTAAGGATTAATATCACTTGTGTTTTCGGAAGTTGCAGAAATTGCCCTCGTCACTGTGCGACTTGGGAAATTTCAGCAACTTCCGAAAACATGCATGATATTAATCCTTAATTTACTCGGCCCCATGCGATAACCTATACTTATTACCTTCCTGTGCTTCTTACTCCTTATCAAATATCTCTGTGCATAATTAACTATATTGATCTTTTTCGTAATGAATTTCTCCACTACTTAAAAGAAATGGTATTGGTTTGAGGAAAAAAGAAAATCAAGTAGGGGGTGCTTTGTGAGGGTGCTTTCTGATCCTTTAATCAATCAATCAATCAATTGATCACTTTATTTAAGAGTCACTGATATCTAGAGTAAATAAAATAACTGAAGACATGGTGATTTGCAGTCACAACAGCACTTAGTGACATCTTGGAAATTTGTGACAACCGGGAATTTCTCGACACTAATTTGTCTAGTTTTATATATTTTTTTTTTCTTTCAGAAACATGAATGTTTTCCCTTGTGATTATCAAATATTTAAAAATTAAAATTTCTATGAACAAGTTGGTAAATGAGCAGACAACATGTCTGGCAATACAAGGATTTGTGTGGTCAATACCCAATTCTGACCGGACATTATCCATTGACTGGCTGTTATTTCCAGCCCTGATAGCATGTTAAAAAACTATTTATAACCATGTTGTTTTGCAATAAATTCATATGGAGTACTATGCAACCTTTTCAGTCTCTTTCTGGTCTGCCATGTTGATTGCTGGCACATGAACATCTTCTTTCTTGGAAGATGAATTTTCTGTTCAGAAAGATTATCACAATAAGGCTGAGGTATAAAAGTTATTTCATTGCACAGTAATTCAAGACCTTCTGTGCCTCCTGTTTTTGGTATTGCATTTCTCTATGCTGTAAGTTGTGTTACATGTGTCACATTCCATCGTGGGCTACTAGGCTTCGACAGACAGCAGTGTATGTTGCTATGGGCTTTGAGGGAGATGTGCACAAAGTGAAATGAGCTTGTAAGAGTTTGAATGAGTGTTGAGTCTTTGGGTAGAGACAGGTAAAGTTTGCAAACCAACAAGTTTTTTATGGTTGCCATCCAATATCCTCCTTACCTTCCTGTGTTCCAGACGAATCAGTAACTTCAAGTGGCTTTAGTCCAAGTTTGATTCTCAGTTTACTAAAAGTTAAGCCACAGTTAATGGTAAAATGGATGTAAAACATTACAGTTAGAAACAATGTTTAATGCAAAAAGTTTTGAAAAATTGCTTGCCACACGCAAGAAAGTTTTGATGTGCAAAATATCGAATATATAGTAAAACAGGAAACTACAACTGTGTTTACTTAGTCTCCTCGATGCTTAACGAAATTTCTCCACCCTCTTGCTTGGGCTGTACATCACTGCCTACAAGAGAATGTCAAGGCTTCAGTCCACTAGCAAGGGCAAACAAAATAAAATAATTTCGTAGGAATTCTAAGCTTTTCTCGTTGTTTCCAAAAAAGTGACATATTATTAGATACATCTTCATTGAACACATGTAAAAGTCATAGTTGTCACTCACTGCGATCTTCGCGAGCCGATTCCTCTATGGCGTACTCATAGAGGTCATCATACTCTTCTCTCTTTGATTTCTTCTTCTCAACTCTCTCCGTCTCTTCATCCGATCCATGAGCTCGCTTCTCGCGATGTCGCTCATCGTTTCTTCTTCTTTCTCTGTCTCCGTCCTTCTCACGCTCTTTGTCTCGATCACGGTGTTTTCGGTCTTTCTCCCTCCTTCTTTCGCGGTCTCTGTCCTTATCCTTTTCTTTATGTTTTTTAGACGAGCCCATTATGTATAAGCAGATGTAAATTAAGTTGTATGACTCTGGTAAGTTTCAGGTACGATTCTCCTGCGCTCACAAACTGGCAGCCATGATGGACTTTGGTAACCAAGCCTTATAATTTCAAAAGCAGCCTGGCCTTCGGCTGTGTTTCCCAATGTACGCTTCCGCGTACAGTCCGTTGCGCTTGCAATAGCCTGCGAACAGGCTCCTCGTTCACCCTTCCCCTGATTCGCGCCGTTGTGCTCCTCCAAGCCGGGAGCCTGTTCGCAGGCTACGCTTGCAATTATTTTCGAGTTTTTAAAAATTGAAGAAAGAATATAAAAGTAAGTTTAAGGAAATTTGAAGATATGCCTGTGGGGCAGTCCTTCCTTATCATCTCAGTTTTTTAATGTAATTTGTCGCCAAGTCAACAGAAATCGATCTAAAAGAAAAGTTATGGTTGTTTAAATTCCCTTGAGAAAGAAGTTTGAGCAGCTACGAACAGCTGCGAAGGTTCACGAAGATTTCTAACCCCCAGACCCTCGCGTAGCTTGTTCCAGACCTTAGGCGGGTAACTGCATGTTTTCAAAATGGCTGCAAGACTGACAAACTACTCGATGTGTCACTCGATGTAGACAATATGTTCACGAGGTAATTGTAAGCTCATCTTTTATTCATATAAATCAATACTAGATTTAGGAGCCCCTTGAGATCAGTGGTATGATAAGCAATAATGTAGAAAAGCCAGCTGAAATGATGTTTAAAATTTGGTCAGATCTTCACGCACTAATCCAAAGAAATTTCCAAGAAAATTTGGTCACAGATCTATACCGATGTAACAGCCACTGCTGATTAGTATTCACCATCATTAGTTTTTAAATCATCTGTATTCAGTTCTTTTTGTCTCATGATCTTTTAGTATTAGTATTGTTTCCCTCAAATCCGGAGACATAATAGAGAGCGCGTGAGTTGCGCCGAAAATGTCTTCTCCACTTTCAAATTCATTTCGTTTTTTGTTTCTTCCTTTCGCCTTCAGTCCGATCTATTTCAGACGACGAAACTGATCTCTAGTCAAATTCTGCTGCAAGTACGTTCTTAATTAATGTTCAATTTTGAGTCTTTCTGTGCAAGTTTTGTTTGTTTTTTTTATCGTACCATTTTTCATGGATCTAAAACGTTGTTGTAGTTATGATACTGTCGACATCGAAAACGGCACTTTTTATGATATACCTAGAAGTATGCAAGTGAAAAGAATAAAGAGTAGTGTGCATGTTAACCTGAACCACATGTTTATTTGAAATTCATTGTGGATTTGTTGCGTTTCTTTCCTGTAGACGAACGGCTTCTAGTTAAAAAATATATATTTTGGACTTATTTGCATTTTTTCGAAGAGCATAATTTAAAAAAACGGTGGCATAATTTGGAAAAAAGAGCATAATGTTAGCATAATTTGGCCAAAAAAAAAGCAATGCTACTAGCATAATATGCCACTTTTACTAGCATAATCTATAAATGCCTATGCGCGGAGCTATTTTTGTGCCTGTAGATCTTTCCATACGCCACCTCGTTGCCTTCACTTTGCTTTTGAAAACTTGTTCTCTCCCTAGATAAGAATTCTGCGAGATCAAATAATGAAAAATCTCTAGATTTCGCTATGTTCTTTTCTATACTGACAACGCCATTTTCACGCCACGCCGGCCGTTTCTAGCTCCAGTAAAGCTATTGTTATTCAACTCACCTGCGTAACTAACGCTCAGTTAGCCTCCATGTAGCCGTACCCTACCCCCCCGAGGAGAATCGGAAGGGTTTCCCCTTGACAGGGAGGGTACGGCTAGACGTAGGCTAACCCCTAGTACACAATCCCGAACAGTTTTTACTGTTATCAAATTTCGTAGTTTTAATTCCTTTTCCCTACTTTTGTTTCCCTTTGCAGATTTTTTAATGTTCAATTCATTTTCGTAAATTTTGCAAGAAAGCGTGCGGTTGTTTATAGAATTTTCTTGTATGGTTTTGCGCGGGCCAGGGAAATGGAGGCGCGGCTGATCAAAGCTTATTCATTTGCGCATGCCCTATATTTTACCACAGTGTAGTATTTTTTTCCGCACTGGTCGCTCCTAGGCAGGCCCAGTGTTCGGGCATCCCGGTCGGGAGCGCAAACCCGTTTACGTAAGGAAGTATTGGAATGAATGGAATGGCGCAATAAGAACGTATTCGTGTGGAACAAATTTCGGCCGCCTTTTTATTTTACAACAACAATAAGTTACAAGTTTATTGTGTCATACGCTTAGCTATTCAGGTGTGACATCAGGGCCCAGTTGTTCGAAGGCCGATTTGCTCTGACCTAAGGAGAAATTTTAATCCGGGTTTCTTTAATCCTCGTTCAAAAGCCTATTTGGTATAATTTTACCGCATTATTTTTAGAGCATTTAATTATCAATAACTTGTCGAAAAAAATAATTCTACTGAATTTTCTTTTAAAGCTTTCAGATTTGAAATCAGATTTAACACGAACCCTGGGTTACCTGAACAATCCGGCCTAGCTTATTTACAGGTGATTAAACTAAAAGTAACCACTATAACGTATGAATAAAAATTTTTGATTTTTTGGGTTATGTATATATTTACTTATTTATTTATTTACTCATTTATTTACTTATTTTACAATTTAGTAGATACAACCCCTTTGCATAGCTTAAACTACGTACAGTGTAAGGTAAATGATCTTAAGCATTTTGCGAACACTAGCCAACTTAAATGATGGCACCTTGACAAGGGACAGGAATCGAAGATAGGTAGAATCACTTTAAAAAACGCAAGTTGGTAGATCGTAGAATTCCCGGAAAAGCACTTCTGCCAATCTGAATCGTGCAATCTCGGTATGTTTAGTTTTGGAGATCGATAACTTCTGTCAACTAAGAAAGCTATCGGATTGTGAAACTGAGCAGAAATGTAAACGTAGCATTGCAGTGGTTGCATTAGTGAAATTATTTCCCATTGTCTGTCTTGCCTCCAATCAAAATTTTAATTAGGCCATCGCGAGAGTTTGTGATTATATTTTCCCAAAACTTGTTTCTAGACACGGTTTTTTCTTTCTTTAAATGAAATAAAAAGTGCATGGGAAAGGGGCCATAAATAAAATCTTCGCGTGATGTGAAAATTGATTTGGGCGTAAAAGATAGAAAGAAAGCAAAAAATAGAGGAAAGCATATGACCATATTAAAGAAGAAAAAAACAAACCGATGAACGAGCTGCTAAAAATCTTTATGGCAAGAACAATGGATTCTACTAGCTACTTGACAGTTTTTTCACTCTTTCAGATCTCAACTGGCGTGCGCAAATTAATCATCACCTACACTTTTAATAATCAAGTGAATGGTTTGTTGATTTGGATTGTTTTAGGCATATTTTTGTTGACATTTCAGGACAGTTAATTAACTTGGCCGTCAGAGGAGAGATTAGATAGCTTAACTTACGCATTTCTTATCTAAATTCTTCGCAAACATTGAGCAACTACTGCCGTTGAGGTCAATTCGTGTTTAAACATTGAAGTATAACTTATACGTTTACAAGTTTCCCGCTGTTTCTAGTCCCATATACGTTGAGCAGATTTCAAGGCCCAGATACCTCGACGCCTGAACGCAAGTTTTGGTATTAACTGATTATTTTGTAAGAGGGATTAATCTTGGAAATGCTGCCAAACTAAACAGAGAAGAAAGAGTGTTGTCACTTCTAAAGAGCGGACGCAATTGAGTGAGTCTTGGATCGTGGGCAGATTAAAAAGACAACTCATTTTAGGACTCTTCTGGACGGCATAGTCTTAAAGTGATCTTCACTGCTTGTTAAGGACAAGTTGAGCAAACATGTCATTAAGCCCAAGTCCTACCGGTTTTATTCATGACACCACAAGGCGAAGAGTAATAGGAAGGGAAACAAGCAATGTGCTGACTCGAACATCGCTGTCAGAGTCAATGGGAGAGTTTACTTCGATGACAAAAACTCTTCCCGTCGATGTTTTATCTTTCGACCGGAAGACTATAGCAAAAAGTTCCATGATAATAACTCCTTCTTCGTCTATTTATAACGAGTCAAAGATTCAGGACTTTGCAACGCAACATCGCGAAGGTAAGAATTTATGATTATTTATGTTTTATTGTACTGTACGTGCACGATCTTTACTGTAAGGGTTCTTTAAGGATTGTTTATTTAGGGAAATAGGATTCCATACGTCAATCATCTTGTTAAAAGACTTCATTTAAAAAACATTAATTCAGCAAAGATTTTCGTTTAAGAAAGTTGCTATATTTACATTCTTTTCGGGCATTTCTTTCAGATTTCTTCATTCGGTCATGAAGGTCCGTCAGCTGAAGTATTCACAGTTGTAAAATTAATAAAACTGCGATAAGTTTCCACTCTTATCAACATGTATTTGATGAAGATTAATTGGCCGGACGTGAAGTGGAATCTGTACCCTCTTTAGAGAAAAAAAATCTTTGAAATGTGTTTGAACAGATTTTGTTTTGAAATGAAGAGAAATGACTTCTCTGTCAAACGTAACCATCTGTTTATAAAATTATCCGATCATTAAAAAAAATTTAAGTTCTGATTGGCTGACCTCATGCTAATGCTTTTCACAGATGATTCACAGCGTTCTTGTTATTTACTCATTTATTTTCATTATTTTATGGCAGAACTCTGTTAAAAATATATAATCTGAGGATTTTCTTCTTTGTTCAACCCTAGACACCCTTGCGTATCAATGTCCACATTCTCTTAACTCAGATACAATGAAATATATGAAGTTCATATATTTTGAACTGCGGTATTAGATACGTATGATTTATCACTTTCTCGGGTTTATTACGAATCAACTTAACGGCCTGCTCCCAGTTGGCTTGTTAGCTCAATTGGTAGAGCGCTGCACT